AATCAAATATATTAGTTTACATTATTTAAATATGTTTACAATTATTTTATTAATAAATTCTTAAGCCTCTTACACTCAGTTGCTCAAACGAATAATATTTTAAAATATTTTCTATTAATGATAATAAATTATGTTCTGGATGAACAATATTTTAAAATATTTTAAAAAATTCTTCACATTAAATCGCCAGCTATTCATATGTATAGCAAAGTTGTTAAACACCCCTCGCCCGCTGGTTTTGTTAGAGAATGTAAATTGCTGCGCTCTTATCAGCTGTCACCCACTTAAGTCGGGGCGAATAACACGACGACTAAAGTCGTAAAATTATTAGCCATAGGCAACAGCCAACTGCCAAGTTCAAAATCGACTGCAATTGGAGGTCGAGGTGAAGCAGCATTTCCGATACACATATTTGAACAACTGCAAGTGGCAATCATTGAAATGAAAACTCCAAGCAACAACAAAATGCGCCACGCGGCGTATGAGCAATGTGTCTGTCCATAATTCTGTTGTTTAATCAACTGCTGTCAGAAATGTTAATTGTGGCACAATAAAGCAAAACAAAAATGTTTGTGGATTTGACTTGCCTTTGGCTTGCCTTTGCGCCACTCGTATTAGTTGGGGGCGATAGTCGCATTTCGCCCAGTTGAGCGCTGGCATCGAAGTCGAAAGGTCTTGCCACACAATGCTGAGCCGTTCTCTTATCTTAGCCAGCTGCTGCCTGCTGGCCCTGCCCGCTGTTTGGGGCTACTTCGAGGGCTGCGATAACTCCTATAATCTGCAGGCGGGCACCACCTACCTGGAATCGCCCTACTACCCCAGTAACTATCCGGCTAGCACTTCGTGTCGCTACCACTTCAAGGCCCCCCTAGACCACTCTATCAGCATACAGTGCAACATTAATTTGCCATCGGTAAGCGGTCTGCCAGCACCCACTGTGGCCGCACTCTGATTGCCAATCACATTTCCAGAGCAATGGCCAGTGCCCCACGGACAACTTCTGGGTGGACAGTGAGGGCGATTTGTTGATGCGCACCGCTGAGAACTTCTGTGGCAGCGGCAGCTTTAACCGTGAATCGCTCTTCACTGAGCTGACCCTCGCCTACATCTCGACGAGCAGCAGCACGGGCCAATTCAAGTGCCAGCTGACTGTCAGGAAACAAAACTGCGCCTGTGGCTGGTCAGCATCGCCGCGCATCTCGAACGGCCAGAATGCCGCGCAGAATGAATATCCCAGCATAGCAGCACTCAAGGACATCAGCAACAACTTGCCCACTTTCTGTGGCGGCACGATTGGTGAGTAGAAATTCATCCAGTGGCTGAGCTCAAGTAAGTTTTAGAGGAGCTACAAAAAGTCTATCTTAGCTACAAGGAAAATTGATAGTAGTTTGTGGACAGCCTGCATGGAGATGCCTCAATAATTGGGTAGAATCGACTATTATTGACCTGCTTTATAGGCTAGGGATGCATCGATAGGTAGATATATAGACATTCAATTCTGAAAGTGAAAGAAACCCTAACTCAACTATCTTCGTATATGTTAGACTTTTTTGGGAAGTAATAGCGGAACCTGAGGAAAAATTTAACAGAAATTTTCCAACTATATTATATAGAAACTCTAATTCAATTAGAAAATTGAATCTAGAACCAAAATTATAGCTTTTTAGTTGCCTATTTATAGTCACAGGATAATCAAATATATTGCTGAGCAGCAACTTAAAAGTTATTCTTTTAATTGATCAATTAATATTTATTGTATTCATATATTGCCTCTTTGCTTTTTGAATGCATTAAATATGATACAACAAATACTAAAGAGTCCTAATATATATAAATTTTCAGTAGAATATAAATTTAATAATTTATTAATTTTATAAAAATATTAACAAATATTTTTCATATTTTTATGCAGCATCTCATCACAATATTTAAACTGCTGCATTCATATTTTTTATAATATTTAATGCTTATATTCTTTATAA